TTTTTTTTTTTTTTTTTTTTTTGTACCGGGGATTGAACTCAGGTCCTTGTGCTTACAAGGCAGGCCACCAAACCACTGAGCTAAATCCCCAACCCTTAGAGGCAAGTTCTTAATAGTGAGAGGTTAAACTTTGAATAGAAATATCCCTTTGAGCTGGACGTGGTGACACACGCCTGTAATCCCAGCACTTGGGAGACTGAGGCAGGAGGATCGCTGTGTTTGAGACCAGCCTGGGCTACATAGTGAGTTCCAGGCCAGTCTCAACTACATAGTGAGATCCTGTTTCAAATTAAAAAAAAAAAAAACCCCAGAAACATCCTTTTGAACTTTTATGTGTATTTGTGTGTTTTGTTTTGTTTTGCTTTTTTGAGATAAGACCTTACTTTGTAGTGTAGGTTGGCCTTGATCTCACTATGTAGCCTAGACTGGCCTTGAACTGATGGTGATTCTCCTGCCTCTGCCTCCTGAGTGCTGGGACCTTTGAATTTTTTGATAAGCACTCAAATAGAAACATCCTTTTGAACTGATATTTTCATCTGCTGGCTTATTTTAATTCATCTGACTGTTCCCATGCTGTGACCTCAGATAGCTTCACTTCATTAGTGTTTCTAATGAGTGACAAATCTAAGTTCCTTTGTTTTGGTACATTCTTTTGTTCTCTTAACATTTAAATACCCCTTCCTATTTTTTTTTTAACATTCTCTTCACTTAATTATTTCATGAGCATTTCCTGAGCACATATAGTAGGTTGTATGCTAAGTTCCAGGCACAGTGAGTGGTAAGATGTACATGGACCATGCTGTCATAGTTTTAGTGCATGGGTTGGGAAATTTTCTCTGTGAAGTGGTTGCGGGTAGTAAATATTTTAGGCCATGAACTACATGGTTACATATTGTTTGTTTTTCATCTTTTTAAAAATATAAAGACCAAAAAAATATGAGAAAATGAAAAAATGGAAATAAAGTATTTGTAAATAGGGAAGGGAGGAGGGGGTGAAGGGAGGGCAGGGGTATGGTGAAAAAAATGAGAACCAAGACCTGTCATGTAAAGGTACAAGATCCTAGTGATGAATGTAACTACTGTATACCAAAAATGTACCAATAAACTCAATGAGAAAAAAAATATATAAAGACCAGTTGGTGTGGTGGCATGTGCCTGTAGTCCCAGCCCTCAAGAGACTGAGGCAGGAGGATTGCTGTGAGTTTTAAGGCCAGGTTGGATCAAGGTAGTGGTGGAACCACTGAGCTAAATCCCAGGCCCTTTGTTTTGTTTTTGAGACATGGTCTCGCTGTGTAACCCAGACTGGTCTTGAAGTCTCAATTCAGCCTCCCAAGTGCTGGGATCACAGGTGTGCCCCATACCCAGCTAGCAGTCCTTCAAAAATAGTTTTGAAAGAAATTATTTTTCCTCCGCTACTGGGGATTGAACTCAGGACCTTGTGCTTTCGAGGCAGGCAGTGATTTTTGTTTTAATGGAAGATGCTTTAGTTAAGTATTGATAAATGTCACTGTGACATGACAAAATGAAGTAGGTTCTAAGGTGACTAAGACTATAGCTCTCTGAGAAAATATAACAAAAGAATTCTATTCCATCTGGGGAAGGGTAGTAGAGATTGGGATCAGAGGTTTAGGGAGGGCTTTATGAAGCTGATCAGTAGTAGTTAATTGGGCTGAAAAGTGTTCTGAGTGCAAGAGCTCTGTCAGACCAGGAGCTCGGCCATTTTAAAAATTGTAAGCACGTGGTGGGGCTGGCTTTAAAATACACCTGAGGAGGGCCAGGGATTTAGCTCAGTGACACCATGCCTGCCTTGCAAGTGCAAGGTCCTGAGTTCAATCCCTGGCACCACCAAAACAAAACAAAAAACAATAAAGTACAGCTGAGGAGTAGTTAGAAAGGGGACCAAGCAATGTATGGTCTTGCCAGACATGCTAAGGATTTTGGTTTTTATTCTCAGAGCAGTGGAAATACATTAGAGGTTTTAAGTAGATGTCATCAGAATTCTAGAAGCTGGGGTGTGCAAGATGGAGGGGTGGCAAGTGGTAAGTTTCTTCTTTATAATAGCATGATTTTGGGGAGGACATTCAAACTTTAGCAGCAGTGGCAACGAGCTGTGTGGTAACATCACATTTTCATTTGAAGATAATCACTCTGGCTATTGTGAAAGCAGAAAGATTATGTAGAAGATTATTAAAGGTAGAACATTCATGGTGTCTTGGTTGAGGGTGATAGCAGAACTGATAAGTAAATAGATTTGAGAGAACTATAGAGGCAAAGTAGGCAGTGCTGATGATTGATTAGTGTTAGGGAGAAAATGACCAGGATGACTTGTTTCCTTCAGAATATTGGAAGAGAGCCAGGTGTAGAGGGGATGGGAGAAAACCCCACCGTTAGTGTGCCCTTAAGGGTTAACAGAGGGCCTCTTAGTGAGAATGCCCTGATCTGGCACTGCTAGAAGTGGCCAGATGTCTCTGTGCAGCCTTGGGTGGGGCTTCAGGTTTTTTTTTTTTTTGGAGACAGTCTCACTGTAGTTTGAACTGGCTTTGAACTAACTGTGTAGCTGCGGCTGGCCTTGAACTCATGATCCTCCTTCCTTAGCCTCCCGAGTGCTGGGATTATATGTGTGTGCCATCAGGCCTGGCTTTTCAGTTAATTTATTTTGTAAAGGAAAGAGTCTTCTGTATTTAGATGGCAGTTAAAAATGAGGATGAGGATGATACTATCAAGATGAGTCCTTGTATTGGCTGAGTTTGAAGGTATACCACACTTAATGGTCAGGTAAAGGAGGAAGAGGATGGGGACAATTGGACTAAATATTCTCATTTATTTTGTTGACAGATGGCATATACCATGTGCTGTTTCCTTAGGTAGTGTTAATTTTCTTTCTAAATCCAACTCCCACCAGTCTTCTGTGAATAGTAAGGCAGGTTTCAGTCAGTTTAAAGCAAGCTTGGAGAGAAGGGGCAATTTTATTGTGGTTAAGATTTATTTTTCAATCTGAAAAGTGCTTTCTCCATTGCCATCAGAAAAATAGAGTATGAGAATCAAAAACCTCTTTGAGATCTTCCAGTTAGCTTTATCTTTGAGGTGTGGGCTTGTTACCTTTTTTCCAAAATTCCTGGGACCCCAGACCTTTAATACTAACCAGCTGTCCTTTCTGTAGACAAAACATTCCTTTCGGAACGTATTTTCTCTTGTGTTTTCTGTGGGGATGGTGGATTTGATGGTAATATTGATTTTAACCATGATGTTTTTTCAAAATCAAAAGCCTCATGTTGTTATACCTCTAGTACCTCCTCCTGTCAGTGACAGTGAAGGTGAGGTTGGCAGCATGGGTGTTGTTGCTTAGTCCCAGGATCCACCACCCACCATGGAGTTGGCTGTGGCTGTCCTGAAAGACCTGCTCCGTTATGCAGCCCAGCTTCCTGCACTCTCCCGGGACATCTCTGTCAACCACCTCCCTGGGCTTCTCACTTCGCTGCTGGGCCTCAGACCAGAGGTGAGATTCTTTCCTGGTCCTCTACCCAGTGACTCCTCTTTTATACTCTTTGGGCTAAATATTGTAATTGAGGAATAGGATTGAGTAGGAAGAGGAAGCCCCTCTGCCCCCATGTAACACTATAGAGAAGAAACCTGGGATACTGGGATGCGATGGAATGTATAGGGTTGGTGGGCCTCTTCCTTTTTAAACTTTCTGTTTTCTCACAGTGTGAACAGTCAGCATTGGAGGGAATGAAAGCTTGTATGACCTATTTTTCTCGGGCTTGTGGTTCTCTCAAAGTAAGTATTCATGGAAATGCCTCTTCCTGCAATGTAAGTCTTTATAGCTCTTAACCCAGATTGAGGCAGTCTCATGAAGTTGCTAAATTGCCCAGGCTGGAGTTGAACTTAGGAATCTTCTGTCTCAGCCTCCCAGAGTGCTGGCATTACAGGTCTACCCCAGCATGGCTGGTCATTCTTGAGATTTCTACATACCTATCTCAACATTTATAATGATAATACCTCAAAGCACTTAATCCTCACAGATGAAGAAATTGGAATTAAGTAACTTCCTTAAGATCATTAGGGATTGGAACCTATATTTATCTGATGCCAAGGCCTAGGCTGTAACCTACAAACTAGAGGCAGGTGTTAAAACTACCTATCTTCTTTCCCCTCCCCTCCCAACTACCTATCCACTCCTCTCCCCTCCCCCTCAGTGACCCTAACTGCCTCAGTCCCCTAAGTGTGTGTACCACTACCCCTGGCTCTGTACTTTCATATTAGTGATGTATGTGGATATTTCAAGATAAAGTTATAAGCATATTGTGAAATGAAAATAAGTGAGTTCTGTTGGTGATAGTCATAGCTACTGCTGATACTGTAACTATTTGTACCCACCTTACTGCATTTCATTTATAGGGTAGTGAAAATGGTGGTGTAATTTTTTTCTCCATCCATGTTCACAGGCCTTGTTGATTTTCCCCCCAAATAAATTGTGGCCTTTAAGTTATAAATAGTTTCACTGCAGGACTTTCTAATAGCCGGAAGAGAAGAGATTTGCTGACTGACTGGTTGTTGCTCTGAGATTTGCAGCTTTCCTTCTGCTCCACCAGATCACTCTTCTCTGCTGACTTGTCCTGCCCTCATGCCTCTAGGAAGTTCCTCAACTAGGTAGTTCCTTTCAACGTCTAAGCAGATAGAGAGCTGGAATATGGGGATTGTTGTTTTTCAGGACTCTATCCTTTTGGCTTGATGGAGATAAGTGACTGTCATTTTGGAAAAACTGGCATGAGGAAGCCCAGTTGTCTGTGGGTTGCGGCCAGGGCCTTTGTCTTTAGACAGGAAGCTAAGGCACACAGCTAATATGCAGGATGTCTTTATTCCACAAAAACATGTCTGGTTCCAGGTTACTCCTGGCTGCCTAGTGGACTCATCATGCTTCCTATGCCTGTAGGAAAGAAACATCTAGTCATAGAATCTTCTGCTGGGAATGGATGGGATATACATCTTTAGTTCTTGGAACTGGCTCATAGACTCTTACTTTTACTCCCCCTACCTTTAGGGCAAGCTGGCCTCGTTTTTCCTGTCTCGGGTACATTCCTTGAGCCCTCAACTTCAACAGGTAAAAAGGGAAGGGAGAGATACAGAGCCTGGGGAGCTGAGCTGGGAGCATCTGTTATGGTTCATTCTTAGCTTTTCTCTGTTACTGCTCCTTCCGTTTTTTTTTTTTTTTATCTTCATAAGTAAATAAAGATTTTTATTTTACATTTTTTGGTCAGCTTGCAGCCTCAAACAATTTTCTGAATCTCAAAAGGATTCAGAGTAATGAGAGTAATACCAGCGGATGAATGGGAAAAGGTGAAGGTAAAATATAGTCAAATGAAGTGCTCAGCACATGATGATTTGTTAGGGAAGTAACATCACAGTGTAACAGAAAACAATTTTATGGTAAGATAAGTGGCACAAGCAAGTGTTGCTGAGTCTTCCCAAAACAAAATGGACATTTCTAGAATGTACTCAAATTGTTGTGATGAGTTTTTATAATCATTTAATAGACTTCCCTCATTAGTTTTCTATAATAATCACATGGGATACACTGGAACATCCTCCTTCCCTGTTAACATGGACTTTTCTGCCTCTTAATCCCTTGTCCTCCCTTTGATCACCACCTCTCTTGAACATTAGCAGAGAGGGGCTCTGTTGCTGGGCTAGTTCCCATCTTACCAAATTTCTGCCCTTTCTTTTGCAGCTGGCCTGTGAATGTTACTCCAAACTTCCCTCATTAGGAGCTGGCTTTTCCCAGGGCCTGAAGCACACAGAAAGCTGGGAGCAAGAGCTGCACAGCCTTCTGGCCTCACTGCACAGCCTGCTGGGGGCTCTGTATGAGGGAGCAGAAACAGGTAGGGACCAGGGTTGGTAGTCAGTAGGATGGGCTGGAGGAGCTTTTCAGGAGGGGATAGGAGAGTCGCTCAGAAGAGTGGGGCAGTTGGTTTCTAGGCAACATGGTGAGAACATGTGCCGATCACTTACAACAAATGGAGACAGGGGATGGGAGAAAGATATAGAGGGTAAAAGGTGGTTGTTGCTTTCCAGCTCCTGTGCAAAATGAAGGCCCTGATGTGGAGACACTGCTTTCCCACTCAGAAGAAGGTGATGCCCATGTTCTTCTCCGGCTTCAGCAGAGGTTTTCGGGACTGGCCCGCTGCCTGGGGCTGATGCTCAGGTGTGTGGGTGTTGGGAGGGAGTAGGGGCCTGGAGGAGGAGGAGGAGGTGAGTGGCAATATCCTCTTCATCATGGGAATAGCATCTTCATCATCTTCATCATGGGTGGAGGTGGAGGTGGAGTCACACTGGGGACCTGCCTTTTTGTTGTTGCTGTTGTTACTGGGGATTGAACTCAGGACCTTGTGCTTGTGAGGCAGGCATAGTGCTGCTGAGCTAAAACCTTAATTTGGGAGCCCCCTTTTGTTTTCTTCCATGAGGTTTTTTGGTACATTTAAGGTAAATAGTACAGTTATAGTCATCATTGGGATCTTGTACTTTCACTTGATACATTTGGTTCTTATTTTTTCCCATTCCCCTGCCCTCCCTTCACCCCTCTACACCCTTCCCTATTTACAAAGACTTTGTTTCCTTTGGGAGCTTGTTTTGAGGTTCTTGCTACTGTTCCTTACAGCTCTGAATTTGTGGCTCCTGTGTCTGTGCCTGTGCAGGAAGTCTTAGATCTCATCTGCCGGATCCTCAGTGTCAGTGGCAAGAATATTGTGAGTGGACTTTGTCCTTTTATGCAGCTCTTGATCAGCATCCTGGACAACCCGGAAAGCACTTTATTGTTTCAGATAAAATAGCTCCTAGCTGGGTGTGGTGGTACACACCTATAATCCCAATACTTGAGAGGCTGAGGCAGGAGGATCTCCATGAGTTCAAGGCCACCCTGAGCTACATAGTGAGAGACAAAACAAAACAAAAACAAAAGCTCTTGCTTCTTTCTAAGTATCATTACTCCCTGCTTCCTGAATACATGTGCTGCTGTCATAGTAGACTTGCTCACATAGAGCAGTACCACTAGTGGCTATTGCTTCCCTAGGGGAGAGTGAATTTGGGGATCAGGTGAGTCACTTGAGAGATTCAGCCACCTCCCTTTACCCTTCAACCAGGATCTGTATAGAAGGTGGGGTTTTGTCTAATGGGAGAGCTGGGCCCAGTGAATATATAGCCATAGCTGTCTGCTCTGCCTGTGTTTCTGTCTTGCCCTGGCTCTCCTGTTCTTCCCTTACCCTTTAGTGTTGCTGTTTTTTCTCCAGAGCTTGCTTGGAGATGGTCCTCTACGGTTGCTGCTGTTGCCCTCTATCCACCTTGAAGCCTTGGACCTGCTCTCTGCTCTCATCCTTGCGTGAGTGGAATTGGGCAGATTCTGAAGAAGGGTCTGGGGCATGAGGGTTGTGAGGGTCACCGTTCCATCTCTGCCCCCAGGTGTGGAGGCCGGCTCTTACGCTTTGGGTCCCTGATCAGCCGCCTGCTCCCCCAGGTCCTTAATGCCTGGAGCATTGGCAGGGACACCCTCTCTTCAGGCCAAGAGCGGCCTTACAGGTGACTGTAAGGGAAGGGAATAAAGAGGAAACTGTGAGAGGTCATGCTGGTGGGCCAGGGGCTCTAGCACATCCACTCTCCGTTAGTAACCTGCCCTCTGTTCACACCACAGCACCATTCGGACTAAAGTGTATGCTGTGTTAGAACTGTGGGTACAGGTCTGTGGCACCTCTGCAGGGGTGCTTCAGGGAGGAGCCTCTGGAGAAGCCCTGCTCACTCACCTGCTCAGTGACATCTCTCCACCAGCTGATGCCCTCAAGGTGAGTCACACCTCAGCTCCTGTCCCTTGGCTCCTGTGGCCTTTGTTTAAATATACCTCTTTACCAAACACTGTTTCCTGACTGTCCTGCTTTCCCGTGTGCCTGCGTGTGTGATTTTTGTTTTCCTTTATCAGCTTCGCAGTCCCAGAGGGAGCCCTGATGGGGGTTTACAAACTGGCAAGCCCAGTGCACCCAAGAAGCTAAAGCTGGATATGGGGGACGCTGTGGCACCGCCCAGCCAGCGGAAAGGAGATAATAATGCCAACAGTGATGTGTGTGCAGCTGCACTGAGAGGTGGGTGAAGGCCTGTACTCTCACAGATCTAGGGTGCCCTGGAGCAGCTATAGCTCAAAACCAGGTGGTGAAATAGGGCGTATATAAAACAGAGAGGCTAGGGGAACATGCAGAAACAGCCTCGCATCTCTGGGGTCTGTAGGTGGAAACTTGCATTCTCTATGCTAGGTACAGTTCTAGCACTTGGAGAAAAATCTCTGCCTCTGAGGCTCAAATTCCTCGCAGGGCAGGCTGCCCAGTAGAGCTTCTTGTTTCGAGTGCAACCATTAATCTGTAAAAAGTTAGTAGTCAGATGCTGTGCAGTTAGTGGGTGACTTTCTTTTGGGTTTCTTTCATATGTCTTACTGCTCACCACCCTACCTCATCTGAAGGGGAAAGCCAACATTCAACCAAGAATGTAAATGCACATTTATGTCTTATCTACATTATACCACTTAAGTATTGTCAACATCCATATATAGTAGAGGTACTTTTTTTTTTTTTTTTTTTTTTTTTTACATTTGTTTTGTTTTGTTTTTAGAGAGGGTCTTACTATGTAGTCGAGACTGATCTGGAACTCACTATGTAGCCCAGGCTGGTCTCGAACTCACAGCGATCCTCCTGCCTCAGCCTCCCGAGTGCTGGGATTACAGGCGTGTGCTACCACGCCTGGCTTATAGAGGTACTTTTTTGACTCTTATGTAATACTTGAGAAAGTAGACTGAAAAGGTAAGTACCTTGCTCAGGGTAGGCAGTGACAAAGCTGTACATCCTTTTGGGATGTATATGCTACTCATCCCGACAGACTTCCCTCTCCTTTCCCTCACCTTCCCTTCTCTTTTCTTGACAGTTCTGGGGATTGGACCCAGACCTTTTGCATTTTAGGCAAGCAGTTCACTACTGAGCTAAAATCCCCATCACTTGTTTGAAATAGGGCCTTGCTGAGTTCCCCAGGCTAGCCTCAGACTTGGGATGTTTCTGCCTCACCCTCCTGAGTAGCTGGAATTATAGGCATGTGCCACCATGCCCTGCCTCTTACGTACCATTCTCTTCCCCAGGCCTCAGCCGGACCATCCTCATGTGTGGGCCTCTCATCAAGGAGGAGACTCACAGGGTTAGTGGAGCCTGGCCTCTGTGGAGCCTGGGGAGGGGGCTGCTGCTATGTGTGTAGGGTTATATACCGCAGAGGTGGGTCCATTGAAACCTGGGAGGAGGCTCTGGAGAAAGGTCGGGTGGTCTCTGTAAAGTTCTAGTGTGCTCTGTGTCCTTTTCAGAGACTGCATGATCTGGTCCTACCCCTGGCCATGGGTGTTCAGCAGGGCGAGGTCCTGGGCAGTTCCCCGTACACCAGCTCCTGCTGCCGCCGTGAACTCTACCGCCTGCTGCTGGCCCTACTCCTGGCGCCTTCTCCTCGCTGCCCACCTCCTCTCTCCTGTGCTCTTCAGGCTTTTTCCCTTGGCCAGAGAGAAGATAGCCTTGAGGTAACTGCCCAGGTTCCCCTTTGGTTCTTAGATTCAGGCCCCATGAGTCTCTGTAGTCCTGATGCTCACACTTGTCCTTTCTTTCTTTAGGTCTCCTCTTTCTGCTCAGAAGCGCTGGTGACTTGTTCTGCTTTGATCCACCCTCGAGTTCCTCCCCTCCAGACTGTGGGCCCCACTTGCCCCACACCTACCTCAGTTCCCCCTCATGAGGCCCCATCTCTGTTCAGAGCCCCACCCTTCCATCCCCCAGGCCCCATGCCCTCCGTGGGCCCCATGCCCTCTGCAGGCCCCATGCCCTCCTCAGGCCCATTACCTTCTGCAGGCCCCATGCCCTCTGTAGGCTCCATGCCTTCTGCAGGCCCTGTGCCCCCAGCACGCCCAGGGCCTCCAGCCACATCCAATCACCTTGGCTTGTCTGTCTCAGGCCTGGTGTCTGTTCCTCCTCGGCTTCTTCCTGGCCCTGAGAACCACCGTGCGGGCTCCAGTGAGGACCCTGTCCTTGCCCCTAGTGGGACTCCTCCACCTACCATACCCCCAGATGAAACTTTTGCGGGGAGAGTGCCCAGACCAGCCTTTGTCCACTACGATAAAGAAGAGGCATCTGATGTGGAGATCTCCTTGGAAAGCGACTCTGACGACAGTGTGGTAATTGTGCCTGAGGGGCTACCACCTCTGCCCCCACCACCGCCCTCTGGCAACAGTCCTCCCCCGGTGGCCCCCACTGGGCCACCAACAGCCTCCCCTCCTGTGCCAGCCAAGGAAGAGCCTGAAGAACTTCCTGCAGCCCCAGGGCCTCTCCCTCCTCCCCCGCCTCCACCTGTCCCTGGTCCTGTGACGCTTCCACCACCCCAGTTGGTTCCTGAAGGGACTCCTGGAGGGGCAGGACCCCCAGCCTTGGAAGAAGACTTGACAGTTATTAATATCAACAGTAGTGATGAAGAAGAAGAGGAAGAGGATGAAGAGGAAGAAGAGGAGGAGGAAGAAGAGGAAGAAGAAGAAGACTTTGAGGAAGAGGAAGAAGAGGAAGAAGAGTATTTTGAGGAGGAAGAAGAGGAAGAAGAGTTTGAAGAAGAGTTTGAAGAGGAGGAAGGTGAGCTAGAGGAAGAAGAGGAGGAAGAGGAAGAGGAGGAGGAAGAGTTGGAAGAGGTCGAAGACTTGGAGTTTGGTTCAGCAGGGGGTGAGGTAGAAGAAAGTGGACCGCCAGCCCCTACCTTGCCTCCAGCTCTGCCCCCTCCAGAGTCTCCCAAAGTGCCGCCTGAGCCAGAACCTGAACCCGGGCTTCTGTTAGAAGTGGAAGAGCCAGGAACTGAAGAGGAGCCTGGGGCTGAGACAGCCCCCACCCTGGCTCCTGAGGTGCTGCCCTCCCAGGGTGAGGTGGGAGGGGAAAGCCCCACTGGAGGGCCAGCTCCTCAGGAGCCAGTTGAAGAAGAGCCCTCTGATCCCCCAACTCTACTGGAAGAGGAGACAGAAGGTGGAGGTGACAAGGTGCTGTCTCTACCAGAGACACCTGCAGAAGAGATGGAGGCAGAGGCCACAGCTGTGCAGGAAAAGGTAAGAGGGTAGGGCAGGCATCTTTGGAGTGAGAAGGTGAGGCTGGCAGGGGGAGGCCTATGGCTGTATTAGAAAGAGGTTTACCCCAGTGTGATTGTGTGTGTGTGGGCGGGGGACAGGGAGAGAGGAAGACTGTTTGAATTCTGTTTTTGTCCTTAAAAGGAGGAGGATGACACAGCTGCCATGCTGGCTGATTTCATCGATTGTCCCCCTGATGATGAGAAGCCGCCACCTCCCACGGAGCCTGACTCTTAGCTCTCCTTTGCACCCACCACCTTGTTTCCAATAAAGTTATGTCCTAAGGTATTGATGCTGCTTCCAGCCCTTGCCAGTGTCCCCAGTAAGGAGCCTGGGTCTCTGCTGAGGTTTTCAAGGTATCTGTAGTCTCCAGATGTCTTCATAACGGGCCTACTGTCTCCAGTGACCAGAGGAGGAGCCGCCACTACCTCGGGCTTTCCTACTCAGTCTTGAGATCTGTATATTTTCCAGTCAGTCCACTTAAGCACTTGTCTTTGCTTTAGGTCTTGCTAGGAGGCCTGAGTCTAGAGCTGTATTTGTGAGGGTAGCAAGGTTTGTGGGCTTGAGGTAGGGGCCCAATGATGCTTTTACTCAGGCTTTTGATGTATGAACATAAGTGCTTTGGAAATGTGAAAAAGGGAATCATTCCTCCCAACTGTGTACATCCTGAAGGGCTTCTTGTAGGAGGTGGCATTTGAGCTAATTTTTGGAAACTTTAGTAAGGTTTAAAAAAGTATTGTCCAAGCTTAGTATATTAAGAAATTTCAACCCCTCAAAAAAGTTGTGAGAGGAGCTGGGGATTTAGCTCAGTGGCATCGCACCTGCCTCACAAGTGCAAAGTCCTGTGTTTGTTCCCTGGTACCAAAAAAAAGTTGTGAGAATAGTATAATGTGTAATATTTGCCTAAATTAATAGTAATATTTAGTCATGGTACTTTTTTATTTCTGTATAACTGTATCTGTATATAGACTTGCATTTGTAGGTACACATAAATTACTATATCTGTATACATTTCTCTTTGTGGGACTCTGTGAAAGTAAGTGGTGGACATAGCCTTCTTCAACATTTTCTTTTTCTTTTTAACATTTTCTGATAGATTAAGAATACAGTCACAATTCCATTATCAAATCTAAGAAAAGTAACAGTAATTCATTAATACAGATAGTCTCTCACTTATGATGACAGTTGGACTTTAGAGTTTTTGACTTTACTATGGTGTAGGGTGCCATTTATTTTTAAACTTATTGAATGGCCTAAGACAGCAAGGATTACATTCTGCTTTTTGCTTTCAGTACAGTTTTCAGTATGTTACTTGAGGTATTAACACTTTACTGTAAAATAGGCATTGTAGATGAAGATTTCACCCAGTTGTGGGATAATGTAAGTGTTTCGAGCACATTTAAGGTGGGCCTGGCTAAATTATGATTGGTGGGTTAGGTGTATTACGTGCATTTTCAAAACATTATTTTCACACTTATGATGGGTTTATTGGTATGTAACCCCATCATAAAATAAGGAGCATCTGTATTGTATATATTATCATCAGATTTTCCTATTTATTTCTAAACTGTCTATGCTGCTCTGCCTTCCTAAATTAGTTCAAGAGTTTTTTTTTTTTTGGTACCAGGGATTGAACTCAGGACCTTGTGCTTATGAGGCAGGTGGTGGCACCACTGAGCTAAATCCTGGCCCTAAGAGGAGTTTTTATTAGGTGAAGACTACTTAAAGCTTTAGAATCATTGCAAGGACAGAGGTGCACAAGTGTCAAATCTTCTCTATTAGTGGTTTTTCAGAAAGTGAAAGAACCTGATTTCTGGAAACTATAGATGGATAAAGTTGGGAAGGGATATAATAAATGTTTTCCCTTTTTTTTTTGAAGACAGGGTCTCACTATGTAGTTGAGACTGACCTGGAACTCACTATATAGGCCAGGCTGGTCTCAAACTCAGCGATCCTCCTGCCTCAGCCTCCTGAGTGCTGGGATTACAGACATGCGCCACCACGCCCAGCTAAATGTTTCCAATTTAAATTGTGTTGTGAATAGGTACTATATTCACATGGCTCAAAAGTCAAGAGATATAAAAAGTTGAGAAGTCTGCTTCCCTGTTTTCAGCCACCCAAATTTCTTCCTGGAGCAGCCACTGTAAGTAGTGGTTACATATTCTTCTAGAGATCCTGTGCGTTTACAAGCAAATATGTATAAAATTCTTTCTTTTATTTTTATATAGAGTTAGTGTATTATCACTTAATTCAGTAGAAATCACTTTCACTGTTGTGGGGATTTATTTATTTGCTGGATGAATAAATTTACAGCTGCATAAGAAATTGCAAAGATAGTACAGAGGAGAGGGACAGCAAGGTGCCCACTGTCTGGTCTCCCCCAGTAGCAATCTTCCGTGATTATAGTATAATGGCAAGACCAGACAGTGATTGTTTTACAGTAATCGACACTTTCCCAAGCTGAGAAACAGTGAACAAAGTGGACAAAACTCCTTGCCTAGCTGTATTGGGATTTAAAGCATAGATGTTTGGAGGGTGGGGAGACAAAATACTTGTTAGATGATGATGTGTGCCATGGCGGGGAAACAGTGGAAGAGGGGAGTAGGTTTGTGTGGGTGTATTTTTTCAACACATTGATGAAAAATTTCAAATGTTAAGAGAAGTTGGAAGAGTTGTACAGAGGATATTCATATCTTTACATTACTGTGTGAATGTGTGTGATTTGTGAAATTTCTAGTACAGTGGTCAGGAAAATGTTGAGAAGGTGAGATTGAATAAAGACAAGTTGAGAGCCATGGAGAGTTCTGGGAGAATAGTGTTCCAGGCAGAGGTATAGCAAGTGCCAGCATGGTGGTGCATGTCTATAATCCCAGCACTTGGGAGGCAGAGGCAGGAGGATTGCCAAGAGTTTGACGCCAGCCTGACCTACATAGTGAGACCCTGTCTCAAAACAAATCAGAAGGTACAGCAAGTACAAGTATCCTGAAGCAGGCGTATTCTTGATGTTAGGGAGGCGTATTCTTGAAGCAGGGAGGACAGTGAGGTTGAAAAGGGGTAGAGAAAGTCCTGAGAGGGAACAGGTTGGAAGTGGGAGTGGAGGGGCCGATGGCTTCTATTCTGGGAGAGATGGGAAGGTGCCGGAGTGTTTTTAGATAACTGACACAATGCAAACTGTGTTCTAACAGGATCCATTTGACACTCCTGGGGAATAGATGGGAGTAGGAGTGATGATACCAGAGAAGTCGGATTTTAGCAAGAAGAGGTGATGCCTTTGATTGAGGTGGTAACAAAGTGGACTCTGGATAAAAATTTAGAAGATGGAATTGATAAATTTAAAGATCTCCGAATTTCACTTCGTACATAGCTGCTTCATTCTCTTAACACAACTGCTTAGAATTATACCTTAATTTAAAAATTCAGTCTTTGGCCCATGGATAGTTAGGTTGATTCTCTTGCTGCCACAAGACAAGAATGTGCATACATGTGCACATAATCATTTTCCACCTAAATAAATTCCTAGAAGCAGAGTTGCTAAATCCTTTCCTAAGTGTCTTGTCAGTTTATTCCACCAGTAATGTTTTCCAAATCTTTGCCAAGGCCTTAAATTATGTGATTCATGGCAATATGTCAAATGGCAAATTAGTGTTGTTTTCAAACCTCTTTTTTTTTTTTTTTTTTTTTTTTTTTTTTTTTTTTTTTTTTTTTTTGAGACAGTCATGCTATGCAGTTCAGGCCGGCATTGAACTCACTAGCCCAGATTGACTTTTAGCTTGTAATGATCCTTCCTGCCTCAGCCCCCCCGCTTTTGTTTTGGTACCAAGGGTTGAACTTGGGACCTTGCACTTGTGAGGCAGGAGACAGAACCACTAGCTAAATCCCCAGCTCAAGTGAACCTTTTTTCTGAATTTACTTTTTTCTCTGCCCAATGCTGGGAATCCTCTCCTTTGAAATGTCTATAGTTGTTAAATTCCTGAGATTATTTTTTTTCTTCACTTGCTTCATAGCTCTTTATAGATTAGGAAGATTAGCCCTTTGTTTATAATAGGAGTTTGTGTTTCATTTGTTTTTATCTTTTGACTGCTTGCATTTACCATGCTGAAAATTTTTATGATTTATTTTTATTTTTTGGTGCTGGGGATGAGCCCTGTACCACTGAAGGTATACCCTCAGATCTGAAAGCTTTTATTAGTCATATTTATCACTCATTTAGTGCTCTTAGGTTTTGGGGGATTTCTGTTGGGATATGGTGCATACTGAACCTAGGACCTCACACTTGCTAGGCAAGCTCTAGTAATGTGCTATACCCTCAGTCTGTTTGAGGATATTTTTTTAAAGGCCTTGGGTGAGATTCATGAATGTCTTGCTTTTATTTTCCAGAGATGCTTATGATGTGTCTTATCTTTGTAATACTAATGTTTTATTTTATATTTTGAGATAGGGTCTCGCTGTGTAGTTCAGGCTGGTTTTGAATTCATATAGCCCACGCTGGCCTCAAACTTGCAGTACCACACCCAGCTTGCAATACCATTTTAGTGGTTTTAGTTTTTACTTTTAAAGTATTTATCTATTTGGAATTCATCCTAACATAAGACATGAAGTACAAAGCCAACTTTATTATTTCATTCAAATGTCATTTCATAACAGTCCCATCTTTCAGTGATTTCAGATGGCACCTTGATTATAAACGCAGTTTCTACATGTTTGTGTTTATTTCCTATATTTTGTTCCATTGATCTGTGTGCACATATTTATTGTAGCTTTGTGATAGGTTTAATGTCTGGTTAGAGTCAGTTGTTAAATATCTTTTGTATTGACCTAGGGAAAATGGTAGGGACAGAACAGGTCCACAGTTCAGAATGTGCCTTTCAGGCTTGTCCAGCAGTTTTGGATTGGTAGGTGGGGTAATAAGGACAGCATATTGGCCTCAGCAAGCTCTTCACTTTTTCAGTGTCTTGGGGCCAGTGAATGGTAGGAAAGTTGATTAAATTATTCAAGCAGTCAATACACACCCCCAACATGTAGCAAATCAGGGTTTTCCTAGAGAGTGTCTTATAGTGTGCTTCAGACTGGCCAAAATTGCTGTAAATAGTTTAATTGTAAATCACTTTATTAAGTATTCACAAGACACAAAGTAGGAAGGCTGTTGTTTGAAATTACCTAGGAAGGATTTTTAAAAAGTTGGACAGGACCGGGTGTGGTCTCACGTACCTGCAAACCCAGTAGTTGGGAGGCTGGAGCAGGAGGATCAGTAATTTGAGGCCAGCCTGAGCGATCTAGTGAGACCCCAGCTCAAAAAAGGAAAACTGAAAAACAGAAACCTTTACTAGCACGTGGTAGGCTCTGGGTTTGACTCCCAGCAGTACTGGAAAAAAGTTGAAAGGTAGAGTCTTGCAGAGAACAGTTTATGCTGTCTTTGGGCCATTAGGTTATGTAAATGCAGGAGGAGTATATGTAGCAGAAATAGAAGCATTCAGGGATGCCTAGGGGGGAGCTGTGGGGACCGTCATGTGCAGGTTCACTGGAGGACAGGTTGTGAATGCAGCAGGTGTTGCAGTGAAGGAGTTGCTGGGATGCAGTTGGATGGTTTGTGAGGCTCCTGTTAGTGAAGGACCTGGAAAGTTGTGCTTAGCAATTTGGGCTAAGTAGCAAGGATTCCTTTAAGGCTTATCATTAGGAGGGAACTGACTTGTTCTATTTCCAGTCAGCTTTGGCAGCCCTTGGAGGAGAATTGGAGCCCAAGAGATGAGAGAGGAGATGTGTGAGAGTTTAGCAGGGAGGATAGTGGGAGCTGATTTTGATCAGAAGACAAGAATGGGAACAAGGAGGTGGAGCTGCCTTGTGGTGCAAGTTTCCTTGAGCCTGCCCTCTGGACTCAGCTGCCACATAGCCACAGACACTTCAGTTCAGGGACCCTTGCCAAAGCTGGCTGGGTGAGCAGTATGTTTTCCTAGAAAGAGCTGGCCGCCTGGCCCAGAATTTCATATTCTGTTGTCTCCAAGAATGATAAATCAAGTGTCCTTACTGCTTACACTGGAAGTGTCTGAAAACTAAATGATCCCTCAAACGACAAGGCCTGGAGAGAAGATGGGAGTAGTTTTAGAATGGAAGAAGTGGAAGGGACAATTTACAGAAGCACTTATTGTGCTTACATTGAACAAGCAAGTACAGGGCATACCTCTCCAGAGGAATTCATGATCTGGTAACGTTGTGGAAAGTATTACATGAATGGTACCTGTGGGGAATAAGCATCTGCAGATGTGGGGTTTATAGCTCAGGAGAGGGGTGGACTGGAGATCTGGGAGGTGGCAAATCACCCAAGGAGTTGATTGGAATGAAAAGCGATGTCAGTATAGAACCTTGATAATACCACATTTAGGGCCAATAGGCTTTTCACGGAGAGCAGAGAACTTGGAGAGGAGTCAGGTAGGGTAGCAGATGCCTGTAAACCCAGCTTTCAGAAGCTGAGGTGGAAGGGTTGCAAGTTTGAGTCCACCCTGGGCAGTTTAAAGACTTAACAAGACCCTGTAAAAATAAAAATGGGTTGGGGGTGTAGAGCAGAGCAAAGGTTCTAAATTCAATTTCCAATAGCTAAAAGTAAAAACAAAAATGGGTAGGGTGGTGTCTCAGTAAATTGAAGTTTCAGGCAGGAGGGGAAAATCAGTTTGAGAAATGTCTATCGGAAGTGTCACCATTCAGTGACCTCATATCACAATCTGTCCCAGCTTCTTCCCTCTTAAAGGCTTGATCCCAGCAATACAGAATGGGCTGGGCTGTAGAATACTGGACCTGCACACCCTCCTTCCTCACTTCTTGCAAGCCAAGGAGACCGAGGGGCAGCTTTCGGAGCACAGATCCTGTGGAGCCCAGAGGAGCCACTTCCTTGGCCTTGGTCTCCACAGGCTGGTCTTC